TTATTATTATTATTATTATTATTATTATTATTATTATTATTATTATTATTATTATTATTATTATTATTATTATTATATTATTATTATTATTATTAGCTATAGAAAAGTTCATCGCGCTTAGGTATTATAAAGAACTCTTACTACACAATGTTTTGAATAAATTCAAAGTATATAGAGTTTATCTGTTACGTATTTTATTATCCACATATTATATTATATAGTTCTAAATATTATTTATTTTATATTTAATTTAAGATCAAGCAGTGCAAGTGGCTTTTTGTAGGGGTAATAAAAATAACAAAGTTGAAGCTAATAAGAGATCCGAACTATTATATGAATTTATTTGGTAGATATTTGATTGCTTTGTTATTCCACTGCTTCAAGTAAGAGAATTTGAATTTTTAGTGCTTCTCAGATTCAAATTTCTTGTCACTAAATTTATTTTATGGTATTCATACTTCTCAGGCTAATTCCTATATGACCACCAATGCAAAATACAAAAACTGCATATTTTACTACTATAAAGATATTTGGTTACAGATTGAAAAATATAATTTAGAATCTTTGCCAGCGAACATTTTTGAGAGAGTTCCCGAAGTATTTAAATTCATTATTGAAAATATACATCTTTAATATCTTAATATTTTGTGATTAATTTTTAATATGTTTTATTTATAGGAAACTGAGAAACCGTTCTTAGACAATAGTTTTTGGAGGTATTCTACTGTTCAATTGCTTCCAAAAGGATCAGAAAGAGCAATGCGATGTGTTATCAATCTGAGTAAAATCCAAATAAGGTTAATATTTAAATAATTATTATTTGTTGAGGTATTCTTATATACCTACCATAGAGCGCTACATATAGTATCCGGGAAACAAGTCAAAAAATTCTAACTAACTTGATTTGTATCCAGAGAATAATATATGAGACAAGATAAAATCCAAATGGGAGTAATTCATAGAAGTCATTATAGTAAATGATATTTATGATTTTGTATGCATGTTGTATAGTAGTTACATTAATTTTGATATGATTAATGTTATACATATTATTTATACCTGGAAATAAATATCTTGTTGGTATAGGTGCACATTAAAGAAAAGCCAAAGCAATCCATGAATGCAATTCTACAAAATATATTTCAGGCCCTAGTATTTGAAACCACAGTATTGATAATTTTCAAGATATTTTTTTTAGGCCTACGTACCAAATAATTGATTGTGAGGAGTATTAATTTCACGTGACTAGCCAATAGATTTATGGAAAGTCTACAGACATATACCAAGTCATACATACCAATCACCTATCTTAGTTTAGGGTACGTGCGATTTCACGTGACTTGTACGTGTCCGTAGACTTTCCCATAGACTTACATGTACCAGATGTTTATTTATTTATTCATGTGATTTTTTGCAAAAAATCGTGTTACAATTGTTTTTGTTGAATATTATAAATACGTAGTTTGATTTCAAATTTATATACAAATTTTGGAAAAGTCTGGTTCATTATTACAACGACTAAATATCAGAGTTCCATATCACAGCAAGATTTAGAAGATACTAAAATACTTTCAGGTAGGAAATCTCTTTCTAGAGTTTTTCTACATTATATCTTTCTTCTCCTCTACTTTGAGAATTTTTTTCTCCTTGTGGAGCCCTCTCTTCGTGAAGCCCTCTCCTCGTAGAGTATCCTACACCTATAAAATTTAATAAGTTTCTCTCCTTTTTGGAGTGTCTTGTTAATTTTTATCCTCTTTGTGGAGCCCTCTCTTTGTGGAGCCCTCTCGTAGAGTATTCCACATCTATAAAATTTAATAAGCTTCTCTCCTTTTTGGAGTATCTTGTTAAGTTTTATCTTCCTTGCGGAGCTCTCTCCATGTGGAGCCCTCTCCTTGTGAAGTATACTTTTGTAAAATTAATAAGAAACAACTTTAGAAGAGGAGTTGGTGTTTTTTTTACACAAGTATTAGTAATAATTTTTTTGGTTTTATATAAATAGAAGATCATAGTTCATGCTGTTACACTGCTAAGCAGACGGTTCTTATTTCTAGAAATATCGAAAATATAAGCGCAAAAAAATTCATGAGTGGTTTTCTGGTATTTTTTTGTTCCCGTTCTCGCATATCAAAAAAAATCTGAAGGAAAGATAAATACGTACATACTTATTATTATTATATGAAATTTTCAAAATTTTTAAATAGCTAATTTATTTTTTATTTAGATACAGCCATGTTTATTTTGGAAGTTGTGAAGAGGCTGGAGATTTCTTTTGGTCTATGGCAAATAAAGAAATACCAAATGGACCTCTTGGTAAATCTATCAATTGTGTCAATACAAACCTACAAAGCAGTATAATACAATTGACCCTTATAAAATACCAGTACACTACCTATAATACTTGTCTCCAATCTATTAAAAAACATAGCATATTGCATTTTATACATATTGCAAATTACAGAAAACAAGTGCTGCCAGGATAAAGCATTACGGATTTTTAATTATATTTGTATTGAAAACAACCCCTAATAAATTAGATAAATCATGTCTGGCACAAAATATAATCCAAAGTCGAATGTGCATTTTCCCTTGACAGCACTCCTATAATAAAGCAGTTTCAGAATCATACTTTTATTAAATTATACTTGATATGCTTTTCTAAGAGATCAAGTATAACCTCTCTATCTAAATATGATTCTTTAATGTGGTCAATAAAAACCGAATTTGGTATCTTTTGTGCCGATTCTCTTACAAAGATTGGAAAATTAGGAAAATCGTCTATACGTATAATTTATATCATTAATGCGGACAACAGAAAAGTAAGTGCAATGATTAAAAAATTATTGCAAAACTGGTTAATCTAGTATTACCTGTTGAGTCGGCATAATATTTATAAAACGAATAGATTGTACTGCCCTTCTGGCAAACTACATCATATTTATGAATTGCATAATAACTCTAAAAAAGAAAAATGTTATTTACTTTTTCTCAAATAATGGATATGTATACATATTAAAAAAAATAGACATACTTCTTTTAATATATCTTTAACTATTTCCAAAACTCGTTTTTGATCAATGGATTCAAAACAACATTGAACATCCACTTTTGCGAAGTATAATCTTACAAAGATTCCAAATTATATTTTTAATCCATAACCAAGTATCTTTACGGTAGCAAAATATGCAGTTCTTGTATTTGCATTGGTGGTTATATAGAAATTAGCCTGAGAAGTATGAATACTATAAAATAAATTTAGTGACAAGAAATTTGAATCTGAGAAGTATTAAAAATTCAAATTCT